ATTTCCAACGAAGTAGAAAAAAGCAGAAAAAGGAATCATTTTAGGAGTAGTTCAAATCACGATTCATCAGCTGACAGCTGGAAGTTTCAGACTTCCAGTGCGGAGCTGCGATGCGGATATGATTTCATTTCTGTACAGAATGCAGACTGCTGGTTCATACAAACTGTAGCCTAAAAAGTTATTATAGTCTATGTTTCGACACAGATACGATTCGAACCGGCCTTTTGTATTTTTTTAAAAAAAAAACAAAGCAGACATTAGACGTGTCTGAAGTCTGAACTGAATTTCGTCCTGTAAAAGAAGGCCTCATTTCAGTTCCTGCGCTGCGTCCAAAAGAAAAAAAAAAAGCAGAAAGAAATTCAGTTCCTGCATCAGTGATTCAGTACTGAAAAAACAAATCTAGCGTAGTACTCTGTAGTTGGTGGCTGCTGGGGAAGCTGGTATCCACGGGAATAATGAAAGTTCGTACATACAGTACCCACAATAAAATCGCTGCATTACCCCCGGAAGTTCGTGTTTCTTGTTTTGATTTATATATTTATATACGCCGTAGATTAGATTTGACATCATCATATTCATACATGAAACCTTTTTTTTTTTTTTGAAAGGGTCCATACATGAAACTTGGTACCAAAAGGAAAATCAGGGTAAAGGCCATGGCTCAGTCACTTGAAGCCAAAACTCAAATCCTCGCCAATAAATGTTCCATCTGGTTCGTTCAGAAAAAATGGTTTCACTTGTCAGGTCTCACAGTCAGTTTATACGAATAAAAACTGATTTATAATAAATTAATAATCAAAGAAAAAAGTCATAAAACTTAAACAAATGCCGTTTATCTTTAATCCTATATTCCTACCGATGATTAGGCCAATGGCTGCTTTTTTTTATCTAGACGGAAAAGTGCGAGGTACTTGATTTGGATAGGCAAAAGGCAGGCAGCATGTCTGATGGTAGCAATGCTCGCCGAAGGTCAGAAAAAAGGTGTGGAATTACTTGGGACAAGGTTGAAAAGGGCAGAATAAAAGATACTACGGGCATGTTTGGTTCATGGCCTGAACTTGCCACACCATAAATTTGGCACGTCGTAATTTTTTAGGCATATGTTTGGTTCATGCCACAACTATGGTGTGCCAAACTTTCTTAGCCATGTGCCCCACATGTCATAGGCATATTTTGATGCCCAACTTTGCCAAAAGTTTTGGCCACACCTTTTTTGGCTGCCACACTTTGCCCAACCTTAATTGTGGCAAAGTTAGGCATCAACCAAACAGGCCCTACGTGTTGGGGATTGCCTCAGGTGGATGCATGGCGCAAGTTCTAGTGCTCGCATTCGGTCTTTTTCGGCTACTTTGGTTAGCTTTGGTCTTTGGGAAATTCAGGGTTTGACCAAGAGATCCAATAGGGAAAGAAAAATCAGAACCAAACCGAAAAAATAGAACGATTCGTTAGATCTATTCAGTCCACCGAATTGACCAAACAATAATGTATGTCCCTCTAATCAAACTATCATATGTTTTGACTTTCCTATATACGTATTTTTTTCTATCTACATAGATATACACTGTATCTAGAAAAGTCAAAACATCGTATAATTTGGAATATATACTCCTCGTACCTATCGGTAAGTGTTCGTCATTTTTCGTCTAGCCTATTCTACTTCAACCTCACCAAACATGTCCAGGTAGCAATCTTGGTGTACTAGATTGAAAACATTGGATGAGAGACAAAAGGGAATAAACACAAAGATGAGCATGTTGTATGATCACCCGGTACTTGTTGGAGGTCTATTCTGATTTTAGATAGAGGATAATAAAGCGGTAATGCTGCGGGGCGGGCCTCCGCCCACCCGGACACTCCTTGGTGGACCGCGAGGCCAGCCAAACAATCCCCTCCGGAGTTTCTCAAAAAAAAATCTCTCATCCAATCCTATCCTCTTGCCCGCTCCTTCAAATCCGCTCCAAGCACCGGCCCTCACCGCACCACACCTCCGAACGACCTTGCCATCGCAAGGTCCCACAACAGGACGCTTTCTCTTCCCCGCTCCCTCCCAGCATGAAGCGCCTCCTCCGACGTCTCTCCCCCGTGGTCGGCCCCTTCCTGCCCTGCTCCTTCCCACGAGGCACCCGACCCCTCCCCGTGCTGCTTCGCGCGCCCGCGCCACGCCCCCATCCACCTCACCCGTCGCGAGGAGGCAGGGGAGGCCTGCGCCTGCGCCTGGGGAGGCCTATGTGTGCACCTGTGCCTGTGCCCCCATCCACCTCGCGCCGTCGGTAGGAAGGAGAGGCCTGCGCCGTGGGCAAACACTGTGTTTTCAAGTGTTTTAGGTGTTTCAAACTTATGTTTCAAGTGTTTTATCTGAATGTTACAAAAGTCGATCTGGGATGTTGCATATGTTGCAAAGGCACTATACGCATGTTGCAAGCCTATATTTTAAGTGTTTCATCTGAATGTTGCAAAAATCGATCTGGGATGTTGCATTTTGTCGGGGTCATAACCTCGGGGTGTCTCAAGACACCGATTAGTTAGCAGGCCACGCGGCCCGCAATACGTCAGCTGGTGAAGGCCCGAACGGCCGAGGCCCAGCTTAGCCGAGCAAACCAAGCCAGACATTAAGGCTAGGGTCGGCCAAGACCTCTTCCTCCTGCCTTAGCCGCACGGCGCTCGAAAGGCGCACGACCTCACCCCTGTCACGACCTCTGAATGGGACGGGGAGAGGTCGAGCCCACAAGTACCGAGGGGACAACAGTCACCTCGGTCCGGTCAGATGCCAACCCTGCGCCACGAAGATCGGATAAGACAACTCCGCCCTAGGGCGGTGACGACAGGCACGATGACCGCCGGCTAGATACGGCCCGACAAGACGCATGTATGATCTCACCTAGTACGGGATGGGATCTACGACGGGGCCTTAACTTAAAGGCCACCCGGACCGACAAGAGCCACGACCCCAACGATCGGGGTCGTGGCCTTCAGCTCCTCAAGACGACCAGGCGATCGACGACATGGGAGCGGCTACCAACTCTCGTACCGCGCCCCAGGAAACCAGAAGACGATGACGAAGATCACGGCAGAGATCATATCGCGCAGGACGGCTGGCGAACCACCACCGTGACTACAGTGCTGCCACGGTCGGCACAGTAAGCACCATGCCACATCATGCCGCGATGTGTCCACAAGACCATGACGACAGCCACGCCTGGATGTACCCTACAAGACGACGTAGCTTGCAAGCCAAGTTAGCTAGGGCCTCCCTCAGGCTCATGACCCTTCTTCGATCGGGAGAACCTCCTCCTTTGTATGCGCCCTGGCCCCGAACTCTATATAAGGGCAGCTAGGGCTCCCATCTCGGGAGGGATACACATTCTGAGTCCGCTACTCATTCACTCTTTCTCCATCGTAGTAGGGCTCCTCAAGCTTCCCTTCGGGTAGCCCATCGCCTAGCTTAGGTTCTTCTACCTTTCCATCATTCTTGCACCCCCATTGTAAGAACTTCAGAGCATTCAAGCGAGGAACACGCACTCAATCATCTCTGAGACTGGACGTAGGGCTCCGGCCTGAACCAGTATAAATCCTCGTGTCTTTTGGATGCTACCATCGTCTTCCTGGAGCAGCGCGGCAATCGTATAAGTTTACTAGTCCGGTTTACGAAACACCGACATATATGTTGCAAAGGCAAAATACGCATGTTGCAAGCTTATGTTTCAAGTGTTTCAGACGTTTGTTTCAAATGTTTCATCTGGATGTTTCAAAAACAGATCTTGGAGTTGCACATATCGCAATGGCTAAACACGCATGTTTCAAGTGTTTCATCCGTTTTCCGATTTATGTTGCAAATGTTTCATCTAGATGTTTCAAAAGTAGATCGGGTGTTGTATGTCGTCGTCCGCCTGCTACTACTGGTGCGTCGCCGTGGTTCATGTGCCGGCGCCTGAGGCCAGCAGACGCCTCTGCGGCGTGCATCTACAGGAGGGCAGGTGGGCGCGGGTCCTGATTCCACTGTGTGGGCATGGGACGCAGTTCCACATGCGGACGCTGGGTGGGCACGGGGGCACGGTTCTGCCTTGCGGGGCACGGGATTGGCGCGGCCATGGTTTTCGAACGCTGGTGCTGGTTGGGAATGGAATGGAGCGTGTGGGATACGATGCGAGCACAGAAGTACGGACGCGGCACGAGACCGGACGTCCAGGCGCTTGGAAGCCCGTAAAATGAATCCCTTACCGTACCTGAAACCCGAATTGATGGACATTTCCAGTCCTCAGGTCTAAAGTGCCTGTCCCTACTATCTCCCTGTCTAGGGGGGAAAAACTAAACGAAACAACAGCCTTTACTTTGCTGCAAATGGGAAAGTCTAGTAGTAACGGTTTTGCCTATAGAGTACAAATCTATGATACATTGATACCCTATTTAATTTTTTTCCTGAGAAACCATACCTTCAAGCACCCACCCCCCCTGAATTCATTCCCGTTTATTTGGAGAAACTCTTCCAGACTTCATGGCATGTCTGTTACCATCCAGTAACCGGCAACGGCAAAGGAAAAGGCCCTTTCTGAGTTCCGGCGTAGTCAGATTCAGCTGCCGTGATCCCATTTTACCAGATGCCACACTGGCCTACCAGCATGAATCGAGAGATGTTTCCATCGCCAATCACGGGCGCCTTGCCCAATCCGTAGATGCCTACTGTTTCCCTTCTTTGCCACATGCAGAAATCTCGTTTTCGTCGCGCATCATTCACCAGCTTCCTCCGGGAAAAGGCAGAGACCCGCCGGTGGTACAAAGGCCGGCCGCACATGCATGCTACCTGCTAGGTGTCGTACTGCTACACTACTGCCACAGTGCACCACCACCACCTGCTTCTTCCAGCACACGCCGGCGCTTCATTCTCCCGTCCTCTCCTCTCCTCTCATCAACCTCTGACCTCCCCGACCCCTGAGGCCGTTCATTCGGTGCCTGCCTGTGGCTGTGGGCAGCAGCGCCGGCGGCTGGAACTGGTCGGCGCAAAGATGGCCGTGCGCTTGCCGCTCGCGCTGGCGGCTGTGGCGGCGGCCCTGCTGCTTCTCCTGTGCCGCGGCGGCGGCGGCGGCGCCGAGGCCCGCGTCCTCCTCACGCTCGACGACTTCGGCGCCGTCGGCGACGGCATTGCCAACGACACCCAGGCTCTCTTGGACGCGTGGACCGCCGCGTGCACCTCCCGCGAGGAGGCCGTCCTCGCCGTGCCGGTCGGCAAGGCCTACCGGATCTGGCCCGTGCAGCTCTCCGGGCCCTGCAAGAAGAAGCTCAAGCTGCTGGTACGTCACGTGCCCTGCCCCGTCCTGTCGATCGATCCCGGCGTCGCGCGTCGTGCGTTACATAATACATACTCGTTGCTCGCTCACGCTGGTGTGGTGGCGCGCTAGATTTCCGGCGCGATCGTGGCGCCGTCGAACCCCGACGAGTGGGCCGGGCGGGACCCGATGAAGTGGCTCTACATCTACGGCGTCGACGGGCTGTCCGTCAGCGGCGGCGGCACCATCGACGGCATGGGGCAGCAGTGGTGGGCCAGCACCTGCAAGCGCAAGAAGACCCAGGTAATAACTTGTGGGCCGGTTTAACCACCAACCACCTGACCCGTCTGAGCCCTGCACTGCAATTTTCGCAATGAAGCCACCTGAACTCTCTGTCATCTTTGCCCTGCTCGTACTACTCTTGCAGCCGTGCTACTCGGGGCCTCGTCCAAAGGTGAACGAACGCCCTTTTGTGCTCCCTCCCCGTTAACGGTTCGTTCAGACATGCCAGCTCGACGCCGGCCGGCGGCGAGGGTGCGCCGGTGATCGCCGGTGAATGTGATCGTTCAATTCTCTGTTTGCGTTGCATGGCATGCAGGCGGTGCACTTCGAGGAGTGCCGGGGGGTGAGCGTGCAGGGCGTGACGCTGCAGAACGCGCAGCAGTTTCAGCTGACGTTCACGCGCTGCTCCTGCGTGAAGGCCAGCTTCCTCCGGGTGATCGCGCCGGCGGACAGCCCCAACACCGACGGCATCCACCTCAACGACACCTCCCACGTCCGCATCACGGACAACCTCATCTCCACAGGTCCGTCGTCCTCGTCCGTCCACACTTGCCCCATTATTCGCAGGCACTGATCGATTAGTAAGCGTACGTAAGCTTTCGTTGTTGTGGTAGACGGTGACGCCTTAACAGCAGTGAGCATGTGATGAGATGACCGTCTCCGTTCCGTGACGCAGTTTCGTTTCTCAGCTGTTTCCTTGCATTTCCTGGCACGAGATAAGATCAAATCCCCCGGCGACTAGTTGACCGGACAAAGTTTGGACAAGATCGTAACGGCGAACTGACGCTAACGCTGATGTGACCCAAGTCTAAAATTGCTGCTGGCTGCTGATGATAAATATTCCATTGGCTCTCCTTGCGTCGTAGAAATTTCCAAAATCAATTATTCAAGAATATTCGTGGCTGCAACTAGTAGTATTTGACTAAACAGTTCACACTTTGAAGGGGATGATTGCGTCTCAATGGTCGGCAATTGCTCTGACATCCATGTGAAAGACATCTCATGTGGGCCTGGCCATGGTATCAGGTGAAAGAAATCTCTACTACTAGTTCTTCCAGCTTCTATTCCAGGATCTGATCTCTGACGCTGGGACTAACAATGCGGCACGTGTGTGTCACTCGTGTCAGCATCGGAAGCCTCGGAAAGAACCGGACCACCGACATGGTGGAGAACGTGAGGGTCGACACCTGCTTGCTCACCAACACGACCAACGGTGTCCGGATCAAGAGCTGGCAGGTAAACACTACCTGACACCGTGACAACACTGCACGTCGTAGGCCTTCACTCTGACAGGAGCGATCCTGTCAGAACCTCACCTGCGTTTCAGCGTTTACTCCAACACGTGCCACTTGTCGTGTGCTTTCAGGGAGGCATGGGCTTCGCGCGGGATCTGCGGTTCGAGAACATCGTGATGAAGAACGTCTCCAACCCCATCATCGTCGACCAGTACTACTGCGACCAGCCCACGCCCTGCGCCAACCAGGCATGCCGCCCGGCCCGCCACCATTTTTCTCATTTTGTCTGAATATTCAGAGCACATTTCTTGCGTTATTGCATGGGTTCAAAATTTCGGCGAAATTTCGGCCAAATTTCACGAAATTCGGTAATTTTAGTGGTGGCCGAAAGAAAACTCTGAAATTTTTTAATACACTAATACATGTGTTATATAACTCTAATCTTATATTTTTCTATTGTTTATATTGCATATTCTTCTATTTAATAGATATGTAGTCATAAATCGTACTAATATTTGTTTAGATCCAAATTTTTTTAGAAAAAAACATACTTCATGTGTTAATCTTAAAAAAAAAAATCGGTGAAATTTCTGTCGAATTTCGCGAAATTCGATAATTTCGGTGGTGGCCGAAATTTTGGCGATACCGAAATTAAAAACCTTTGCATCGTCTGTTCGTCTCTGATCTCTCGGGTGGTATCTGAACTCTGAACAACTAGCTCTGCATGTGGTGCAGACGCAGGCGGTGGAGGTGCGCAAGGTGGAGTTCGCGAACATCCGGGGCACGTCGGCGACGGCGCAGGCGATCAGCATCGCGTGCAGCGACACCGTGCCATGCCGGGAGCTGGAGCTGGAGAACGTCAACCTGACGGTGGAGGGCGGCGGCCAGGCCACCGCGCTCTGCTACCGGGCGTCGGGCAAGAGCGTTGCCACCGTGGTCCCGCCGTCCTGCCTCGCCAAGTCCTGAGAGTCAGCTAGCGAAGCAGTGGCGGAAGCACATATACACACACATGATTGTCGATTTGGAGCTGTTGTCATACCCAAACGAGCTTGTCGATTGTACACGCCGTTGTTGACGACAAGAAAACTCAGAGAAGAAATATTGGAGTTTACGTGCAAAATGTTGTGCGCTAGAAAGGGAGAGCTCTCTCTCTCTCACTCTGTTTTCGAGAACGGCAGTGCTAGCGCCCACGCCTGTCTTCTGTTTCGCACGCCCACGTGGACCCGCGTCGCTCGACGTTGCCCCCACCCCCACGGGGACCGCTCGCGCCCCTTCCGCTTCCTTGTCTAGACGTCTGCGCCCACTCGACGTCCCGCAGCGGGCGGCTGTCGTAGTTGGGTTCCCAGCAGCAATACCGATTTACTTTTGAAACATTTATATAGAACATTTGCAACATACGTCTGAAGATAGATGAAACACTTAAAATATTTATCTAAAACACTTGCAAAAAACACATAAAAACATTTGAAAAAGTCACTGCAAAACATATGCAACATCCATGTAAACACTTGCAACATATGCGTGAAACATATGCAACATCCAAAGAAACACACTTACAACGTACGTCTGAAAAAACATATGAAACATTTAGAACAGATGCTTGCAACATTCGTGTACAACCACTATAACATTGCAATAGTCCGATCCACTTTTGCAACATCCATATAAAACACTTGCAACATACCTCTAAAACAACTGAAACAATTGACACGTTCACTTACAACATGCGCTTTCAGCGCAACATCTCCTTGCTACTTGAGAGAATGGAGACTCGTCGGCATGTGAAGTTCACCGGAGCCAGTGGTGGGTCGGCGGCGGCGGCCGCATGACGTGGCGGGGGAGGCAGTGGTCGCATGACTAAAAGAGGCAGCCGCATGCCACGCCTGGCAGGGCCGGCAGCCGAGCACCACGACTCGGAGGTGACCACGCATCGTGCCTGGTAGGGCCAGCTCCCGAGCGCTGTGCCTCAGAGGAGGTCGCGCGCTACGCCTAGCTAGGCCAGCAGCTGAGTGATGGAGACAGCTGGCGAGCAGATATGAGCAAGTGAGCGGATAGAAACGAATACGTGGACGAGCAGATTTTTTTATTTAGAAACGGAGGAGCGGGAGATCTTCGACCGGCCTCGTGTGGCCCAGCAACTGAGCGTCCGGGTGGACGGACGCCTGCTTCCTAGCATTGCCGTTTCCAGAAAGAATAGGGAGAGTTCCTTTTTTTTAATGAAAACGACACTTAAAAACGTACCCAATAAAAACTGTAGTAGGTAGAATAACTTGACGCCGAAGGATCTCTGAAGAAATAAGAGTACATCGTAGCACACAACATTTTGCACTGTCAAGGGAAATACACACCGGCAAACATCCTAAGCATACAAAGCTGTGAAGACCATAACACTAGCCATAACGTGTGTTTTATCGATGCTTGAGAGAAGAGAGAGTATCAGACATCGAGTAGAACCATTGTGCAGGTCGATGCTGAAACCAGACACATACTACCCGGGTCATGTTCCTTCTCCGGTGCTTGGCAAATAAAGAAGCATTTTTATCCGGCCGTTGGTCCTCACCGGCACTGTTCTGACAAGCATCGATGCCGACGTTGTGATGATATAATCACATGTTCACTTATGCTAAAATATTGTGAGAGAAAAATACTATTTCATAATAAAAAATAGTTCCAAATAAGTTCAAGCCAACAGGACGAATAGTCCAGTCATCGGTACGAAGTGGCAGTTGAAAAAAAAAACAGCATCGATACGCTGTGGACAGTCTGACAAGACACTTACCGCTAGCAACAAGATCTAATATCTATATATAGAAAGAACATCCGTCTAGGAACCTCTAAGGAATGCGGCCTCACAGTTTCACCGCCAAACACAGGGTACTGGAGAAAATGAGACCTTACCGGATAATAGACTAAAAAGAGATGTTAAAATCACCACATCGAAAGCCAACCCACAGTTTCTCATAACAAACTGCCAAAATTTAAAGAGAACCAATATATCTAATAAAACGTATTCTCACTAAGCCTTTGCCGACGCAAAATCAAGGTCTTGTTTACTTGGCGATTTTTTTTTGAAATGGTATTATAGCATTTTCGTTGTTATTTGGCAATTAGTGTTCAATCATAGTCTAATTAGGCTTAAAAGATTCGTCTCGTGAATTTCGTCTAAACTATGTAATTAGTTTTATTTTTTTATTTATATTTAATACTTCATACATACGTCTAAAGATTCGAGGTGACGAAAAATCTTAAAAAATTTTACAAAATTTTGGAAACTAAACAGACACCAAATATCATTGAGGTGGACAGACCGAAGAGATCTTTTTCAGTACTATCGCTCCCACCACTTTGTCTATACCGCCGGAAACCAAATCCTAGTTGAAAAAGAACCTACAAGATACTAAGGTGTGTTTAGTTTCCAAAATTTTACAAAATTTTTCAAGATTTTTCGTCACATCGAATCTTTGGACGCATGCATAAAGCATTAAATATAAATAAAAAATAAAACTAATTACACAGTTTAGACGAAATTCACGAGACGAATCTTTTAAGCCTAATTAGACTATGGTTGGACACTAATTACCAAATAACAACAAAAGTGCTACAGTACCATTTCCCAGAAAATTTCGCCAACTAAACAAGGCCTAAATCAATGCCACCGAGAAACCGAATCCTTGTTGAAAAAAAACTACATAAAACTAAATCAATGCCACCTAGGAACCGAATACCAGTGTCTGTTTAGTTTTCAAAATTTTGCAAAATTTTTCAAGATTCCCTATCACATCGAATATTTGGACGCATGCATGAAGCATTAAATATAAATAAAAATAAAACTAATTACACAGTTTAGACGAAATTCACGAGACGAATCTTTTAAGCCTAATTAGACTATGATTGGACACTAATTGCCAAATAACAACGAAAATGCTACAGTACCATTTCCTAAAAAATTTCGCCAACTAAACAAGGCCCAGTTGAAATGCAAGAAATAAAATCAATGTTGTTGGGGAACCGAATCGTAGTGGAAAAAGAACCTATACAAGAAACTAAATCGATGAAGAGAATGAGTTCCACTTCTCTGACTGTTGGTGAGGTCAGAAAAGAATAGGGAGACGTGGCCATGGAGAGAAAGAGAACCTACGCAGGGCTGCCATGCCCAAGGCCTAAAAGCATCTCCAAGAGTTTTTAAAACACACTTCCAATCTTGATTTTTTAAGATTAAAAATGCTCTCCAACGACTTCTCATCTCAACTCTCAATCTTTCCGCACTTAAAAAAACGATCCAATCATACGACACGCATATCGATCAGGCAATCTAGAGGGAGAAAGGGCGTCAGTAAGAATATGAAATAAGGACAGGGTTCTCTGTAACACCCCGGTGTTATGCCTGCATTTAGGCACTGCTAATCATACATATCATGCATCATCAAGCATCCTAATCATACATGCCTAATCATGTAAATAACAATTGAAACACTGCTTCGAAACATTTGAAACATGTTGTGAAACCTGAATGTGCATACTTTTGTTAGACTTGTTTTGCCCTGATTTTGCTTGCTAGGTTAGTAAAACATGTTTGGCTACTATTGTAAATCATCTAGCAATGTTTAGTTCAATTTTTGGAGCAAAGTTTGTATTCAAATTAATTCAAAATTTGGCTTCAAAAATAAATTCCCAAAAATTAGGGTTTTGAGTTAAACGTGGACTTTGACCTTACAATTCAAAATCTAGAAAGAATTTGGCTGTGGTCATAAAAGCAAAGTTGTAGAAAATTAAATTCTAATCAACTTTCATTTTTGGTACATTTTCAAAAGATGTCATTTTCTTGCTAAAAATAATATTTGAAAGATGGCATTTAAAAATTCCTTGAAAATACAAATGAAAAGGCTTTTCCTCTCTTCATGGGTCAGCGCTTCTCACTTCTGCCACGATCAAGTCGGCCTAGCCAGCCTCCTCCAGCGCCTCGCCTCGCCTCGCTCAGCCCAGCACCCAGCGCCACACTTAACTTAGCTTGCCTCCATGCTTTTGCCTTACCACGCCACATGCCTACCGATCGTCGAGATTGCCACCCAGCGTGCGCACCCGTCGCCGGTGGCTCGACTCGCGTCCACGCACGCATGTAGTAGTCCTGCAACCTTGGCTGGCCACGGCTTAAGCTCCCGCAGAGCTCGCCCGGCATCGCATTTCCTGCTCCTCCCTTCGCCTCTCGCTCGGACAGCACCAGCAACGCACCCGCCACCGGCCGCCACTAGCTCCCTCGCCGGATTTAGCTCGTCCGTCCACCACAGCTCGCCGGCGACCACTCCATCTCGCCTGAAGCTTCGCCTTCACCCACACCCGTGCTCGCGCTACTTCGCCGTGGTAAGCCTCCCTTCCTTGGGAATTGCTCGCCGGAGCACGGCCGAGCTCACTGGTTAGCTTCGCTCCGTGGACTCCCCCTCCCCGCTTCTCTTCCCGCCTTTCCTTCGCGCGCGCAAGCACCGCACTATGACAATGAGTCTCCCGAGGGCCTCTTTTTGCCATACCGTGGCCGGAGACACTCCACCGGCGACTACCCGCTCGGCCGCTCCGCCATTGCCGTCGGCGAGCCTCTCTCCCATGCACCGCTCCTCCCTATTCACCTCTATCCGACGCGGTTTGTCATGGGGAGCACGTTGGCGCCCTCCGTTTCGCCGGGGACCTCGCCGTCGGCGAGTTTTGCAGTTGCCGCGCCGTCGTCTTCCTCCGTCCCTGTTTTCTCTCGGCGGCCTTACGGGTCCCATTTGCCGATCGCCCGGCTTTGAGAGAGGGCCGGGCCTGAAATTGCCAGATTCAGGGCAGTGTGCTCACAAGCGTGATCGTGGGCCGTCTTCCCCTCCCTTGAGCTCGGGCCGCGCAGGCCAAAAGCGGTCGTGGGTCAGCTGATTGCAGCGGGCCGGTCCAGTAGCAGTAGGATAAATTGTTTTCAATTTATTCTTTTTTATTTGAAA